ATTCTGTGGGCCCCCAAAAAATTTTTTGATAGGTAGTGCTATTTGCCCCCTTTTGTAAAGGGTAGGATAAAGAAATGTGGTGTCACCCTTTTGAAGACTGCAGGAGGCCATGTAATGTATGGTAGGATTCCTCGTAATAATAATGCATGACTAAAGGAAACTACAAATACCATAACTGTGTGTCTTACTCATGAAATCGTACCCCAGTATAATTCTTCCATAGAGGAACTGTTAATGATTTATGGAGAGGCTAATAAAATAATGCAAAGTGCAAATATGCCTCTGAAGGAATGGAATAGTAATTCGTCCAAATTAAAGGACAAAATAAGTAAAGATTTCCCTGGAGATGAAGTGCCAAAATGTAGTAATGTATTGGGATTAACTTGGGATACTGAGAGAGATTTGTTAATGTTAAAACCTAATAATTACAGTATGCCCAATAAATTAACTAAGAGAGTTTTGCTTGCTGAAGTTTCCAAATGTTTTGATCCACTAGGTTTAGTGTCACCCCTTACTATAATAGGGAAATTATTAATACAGGAAGCATGGAAACTTAAATGTGCTTGGGATGAAATACTATCTGAGGAATTCATTAACAGGTGGGATAAATTAATTGGTGATTATGAAAAATTCCAGTGTTGGAGTTCCCATGCCAGGTGGCCAATCCAAATGGGAAAAATTGTACTCCACATTTTTTGTGATGCTTCAAAATTGGCATATGGAGCAGTTGCTTACCTTCAATGTAATAGTGTTATTTCTTTTGTTATGTCTAAGGCTAAAGTGTCTCCAATTAAATCACGTACCTTCCCTCAGTTGGGAATTAACAACCATTTATGTAGGTGTCAAATTAGTTTAATTATATAAGAAATAAGTTGCATGAGATAAAAAAAATTTAGTGACACTTTAATTTGGTTTGATAATGAGGTATCCTACAATGGATTCGAAATGGAAACAGTAAAATTGTGTACGTACAAAAACAGAGTCGCTGAAATTAATCAGTGCAAGGAAGTATAATAGTTTGGGTCAGCATATGTTAAAAATTTAATCATATACCTGATGAGGAGAATCCAGCTGATTTCTTGTCTCGAGGTTTACCTTATGCTAAATTTTAATTTCTGTATCATGGTTTAAAGGACCGAGCTGGTTGGTAAATAAAGCTAATTGGCCTGTACAAAGGCGTATGTTGCTCCTGTTGAAATTACTGTGACCACCGCTCCAATAGTTTGTCCTCCCTTAGCCATTGATATAAATAGGTATTCTCTTTAACCAAACTAATCAATGTAACTAAGTTGGTGTTTAAATTTCTAAACAAGATGAATATATCATATAAGTTTTCACATCCTCTTGAATATTGGATAAAGAGGGTACAGGAGGAAATCTATGGAAATGAGATTAAATTGATGATGGAAAGAAAAATTGTGAAAGGTTCTATAATAGAGAAATTGGGGCTGTATTTAGAGAAACAATGTAATTAGGTGCAGAGGTAGGTTACAAAATGCTGAATTGGGTGATTATGCTAAAACACCCTATCTTACTGCCCAAAACTCATCATCTAACAAATTTAATTGTTCGAATGTTCATAAAAATGTAATGAATGGTGGGGTACAAGATACCTTAAATTGTATTTAGGGAAACTTTCTGGATTCCGCAAGGACGCAAAGTGTAAAAAGGGGTGATTAAATCTTGTGTAATATGTCGCCGTGTGGATGCCAGATCCTATATGTACCCAGGTCCACCACCATTGCCAAATGAGCAATTTGAGTCGTTTAGCAACGAACTCCGTCTGGCCGCAGTGTGGAAAAACTGTATATATTTTCCAGAAATACAGTAGTTATATGAAAAATAGATGGCCATACTGTATTTAATAATTGTCATAGAAAACAGGAAGCTGTGCCTGCACAGGACAGTCGCCATTTTTGTTTTTGAATTGAGTAACAGACATTAGTAATGGGAAGAATTTTTCATGCTCTAGAGGTTAAATTTGAGCTGACACCTCTCAAATAGGAGCCTAAATTGTTGGATGTGCATTCCTGCATAACTTGAGATATCAGGCGACCTTACAAGACAGCTCCAGGAACCTCAGATAAGTCTGTTATGTTTAACTCTGGGCAGTGTTATTTTCATAGATAGACAGTGAGGTTTTCTGAGTATGATACACATTAATCTCCAGTCAAATTGGTGAGTGTTATGATTAAGATATATTCTCCTTCTGTTGTATAAATGTGTGTATATAATATATATATATATATATATATATATATATTATATATTATATATATATATATATATATATATATATAATATTTATTATATTATATATATATAAAATTATGTTTACCATAATTTCTGTATATATATTTTATTATAATTATATATACAATTGTATATTTACAGTGGAGGTATAATCTTTATTATGTGTAATATCAGTCAACATAAATTATAATTACTTGATTTACTGGTATGTATTATAGTTAATTATAAATTTATTCCAGAGCAAGTTGGCGATATGAAGGGGGACAGGTATCGAAGGACAATGCACCAGGTGTCGAAAGTTCCTGATTGTGCTGAAACTTGAAAAAATAATAATTACATTTGTCAATTTACTTGGTATGTACATTATGAGTTACATCAGATGGAGGTAAAATTATGCCACACCAGTATGGCACGATAATGTTAAGGTGACACAGTTCACTCAGCAATGCAAAATGACACACAGCCGATGGAAAGTAAGGGAAAACTAAAGATGGTAAAGTAATGGGCTGAAAACTTGAAATAACTATCTATCTATACAAGGCTTTGACATTTAGCCTCAACTTTGCTTGGGTAAGATTTACATATGCAGTGTACATCTGATCTTGGGAGGTCAAATTCAATGCCTGACACCTGAGTATCCTCATTACCTGTCGTGTCCGCAAGGAGTAACGACAGTCGGGACGTGTGTCAGTCGGGGGGGGGGGTCGAGATAGAAGGTAAGGGTCAGATGGTCAAGCTGGGCTCCACTGTCTGGCTGCCGGAAGTTTCAACATCGTCACAGACTAATTTCATATACTCTAAATGTGACTCTTTGTACTGACCACTGCTCATTTCTCTGACTTTGTACTTATTACCACTTACGTGTTTCACAACTCAACAAGGGCCATCAAACTTTTGGTCAAGCTTTTGCATTGAAGATGTCTTATTGAAGTTAATTAACGACTCGAGCAGACTTTAATTTTGGTTGGGTTTGCTCAAGCGTTTGTAACCTTGTAAATTCTGGTGTTGACTTTCGAAGTGTTTCTTTGAGTCTTCTGAAAGTACCTTGTGTGATACAAGTACGAATCATTTCATAATCATCATTAATGTAATTAGGTCGTGGACTGGAGTACAACTCGTAGGGTGGCGCTTATCTACAGCATGCAAGGCATAATGTGGAGAATCTCCTATAGTGACATTGTATGCAGAATTAATTGCACATCAAGAATTGCTTCATCCCATATTGCTTGTAAAGCATCGCGTACTTCTTTGTCTTTTCATCTAAACCATTACTAGCAGGATGGTGAAGGACGATGGTACACCACTTTTCAAGGATCTCGTTACAAAATTCACCTCCATCATCTGTTATAATGGACTTAGTATTATGTCTGCAGATAATTCGTCCTTTAAATACTTTGGCTGTTGCATCTGTAGTTTTAACTGCAATAGGTACTAACAGTGTCGTGTGAAATTATTTACCATCGCACATCAATGCTTATTGCCCTGGAGGGAAAGTTGGAAATTAGTCAACAAGTCAAGCGATACTCTTTCCCAAGGTTCGCTGGTAATAGGGTATACCCAACTGGGATTAGATTCACCAAAACATGACCTTTATGTTGTATGAATACTTACATTTCTTAGCTTTACTCCAAAATATATGTTGCCTTACGAGGCCAAAATATTTCAGCCTATCATGTTGGACAGAACTATCCATACCAGGGAGTGCAATTAATTGCAGGGAAACATTCACTAGTGAACTTGGGAACTAGGGGTACCAAGTTTGGCTACACGATACAACAAATCTTGGTTCATGACAGTCACTAACAGGAGCTAGTGGTTTCACAGTTCGATTTTCCTTCATCAGGAATCGATTTACACCAGACCATGTTGGATTTTAACATCCTCTGCATTATATCAAGGATCGACTACATATTATTATTATAATCAGGAGGAAGCGCTAAACCCGGAGGATTATACAGCGCCTGGTGGGGGGGGGAAGATGTGGAGGCATTCAGGCTTAATTCGGGGAACTGGAGCACAGATCCAATTCCCTAAATCAAGAGCCCCTCACCAACATCAAGGAACCTTCCTTGAGGGGAGGATCGACTACAGCTGCACCAATGTAGCGAGACATGGCATCTGCAACCACATTCGACTTGCCAAGCAAGTG